CTGCTTCACCCCTTTCCAAAGGGACTCCAGCATCCTGGAGACCCTTCATAAATTCCTCCAGATCCAAAGTTTTGCTGCCGTTGTCATCCATGATGCGGAAAAATCTGCAAAGAATGTAATGTAATATAGGCGTGTGAGTGAGTGCCGTGTGTGTGTGAGAGAGAGAGAGGGACGGAGACATTTATGGAGAAGCTCAGCCTGTACTTTTCCTTGTAGTATTCACTTCCCTAAATGCTAACAACAAAAGTTAGTTAGTTTAATGATTGATAAAGTAATCCTGAATTTAGAAGCCATAATACTATTTCCCATTGGGGAACTGATATATTGAAGTTTTCTGCAGCTCCCTGCCTCTGGCAAGCAGAGTAAATGAAGCAAAATAATTAAAAAGAAAACCTCAAATAAGGAAGAAAGGAGATGGGGGAGGGGGGAACCACTTGAATAATCTGAATGAAATTATTTCCAGAAAATATGGATAATCTCATACTTTGTACCTGGCAAGTCCCTTAATCCCAGAAGCTCCTCTTTCCAAGCACTTTGCTCTGAGTTTGGCAATGCTTCCAGTACCTTTTCCTTCCATGCTGCAGGTATTTGTTATGATGGAAAAAAGGATCTAAGAAGGATGAAGCAAAACGGAAGATCAAGTATGGAAGATTCAGCCCTCAAAGACTTCCATCTGACATAATTAATACAACTACAATTATAAATTAAGCCCCAATGTTGGTTCAAAAGCAACCAAAGCAGGTACTTCAGCAAAATGTCCTCTTCCAGTGCTTCCTTGACACCATTGATCTGGGAATGTTGGTCCAATGGTCCGGGAATGTGTTTGCAATGCCAATTACATACAATATATTATTGTAACACTCCCCGTCTTAGCTCAGATTAGTGATAGACAATGTGCATCTGAAATATATCGCACAAAGCAATCTATAATTGAGGGGCAGATTGGTCTTTGTGCAGTGGTGAAATCCAAATTTTTTTACTACCAGTTCTGTGGGCGTGGCTTGGTGGGCAGGGTGTGGCTTGGTGGGCGTGGCAGGGGAATGGATACTGCAAAATCCCCATTCCCTCCCCACTCCTGGGGGAAGGATATTGCAAAATCACCATTTCCACCCCACTCTGGGGCCAGCCAGAGGTGATATTTGCCGGTTCTCCAAACTACTCAAAATTTCCACTACCGGTTCTCTAGAACCTGTCAGAACCTGCTGGATTTCACCCGTCTTGGTGCCTTCTAATTCTGGAGTATAAATGGCATGTGACAAAGAGATATGTTTATATCAAAGAGAGAAGGCAAGTTAATTTCTAGCTCTGTGCTCTAGCTTTATGTGCTGCTTTGGGAAGTTTCTTCTGATCGTATTCAAGACATTACCTGTATTTATACTTCCTTTCGTTTCCAAGTGAGTAGGTCCTTTTAGTTAATTAAGATGAAAAAATCTTGAGACAGCTTGCAAACTAAATACAAGAGGCCACAAAACTTTCGTTCATTTCATTTCTGTCCATTCCAGTGAACAGACATTAAGAGGAGGGGAAAAAAACTTTCCGTTCCTTCTCTCTTCTGCATAATCCACCCTCTGCCCCTCAAACCAGTCTGCTGGAGTTTTTCCATCGATGTTGAATATCCTACCTGCAATTGTTGCTTGTTTCCTTGCTTTTTCTCGCCACCCGCGGAACTTAGTTTGACTGTTGTGTTGACTTGCGTTGAGCTGTTCCCTGTCTCTATAGCAATCGCTTGCTCGGTTGCCAGGAGGGCCTCGCCAAGGGAAAGCTCTGTGGTGTGCTGGAAAGCTCTCGGAGGAAGTGACACAGGCCAGATAGGAAGGTGGCAGGAGGGGCCAGGAGCCTGCATGGCTCATCTTAGTCTAGAGCTGCTAAAGAGAGAGAGAGAGAGAGAGAGAGAGAGGTAATACAGCTCTCTATCAGAGGGAAATATTTGGTTGGAATCACCTGCTGTAAATTAGCAATTGTCAGCAACTTTTGTGCCCAGAAATTTTAATTTTATCATGTACCAAGAGAGGACTGTTTTTATGGCTGTTTTTTGACAATCCAACAGATCCTGTTTTGCAGGGCAACTTTTCCCACCCTGCTGTTTTGCAACGAGAACTCCTGAAATTTCTCTAAAATGGGAATTCTGTACGTTCTGATCCCAGCACATTTAGGAGTTAGGAAGTTGGAGAAAGCTGCCTTTGTCATTTCTAATGTTATTCTACCATTGCCTGTACTATATTTCGACTCACACAGCACATCATCAGACTCAAGTAATATCTACCTATAACATGGATGTCCCAGCAGCCCCAGTGATGATCTGCTTAACTTATCAGCATGACTTTCAACCATAATTCCAAGCTCAATTACAGTTGTAAGTTGAGAACTATCTAAAAGCATAGAGGCCTAAGAGGGGGCAAGCGCTGTCAAAAGTAGAGGCTAAAATACAACAATTTGAGAAAAGCAGATAGTGCCATTTTGTGAGTCCAAACGAAGAAGTATTTATTTATTTATTTTTATTTGTTTGCTTCTTTATTTATTTATTTGATTTATATTGCCGCCTATTCACACATGGTGATTCAAGGTGGCTTATAAGAATATAAAAACATATAAAAACAATAAAACTAATAAAAGAGAGAATTATATAATAATAAAATAACCCCCCACTCCCTGCCCTGGTGACAACACATCATACGAGCCATTCAACGCTCCATCCCGCTCTGCGTTCCCCAGGCCCACTGGCAGAACCAGGTCTTCAGCGCCTTCCGGAAGAGTGTCAGAGTGGGGGCCATTCTAATCTCTGGGGGAATGATGTTCCAGAGAGAGGGAGCCACCATGGAGAAGGCCCTTCTTCTGGGTCCCACCAGGTGTATCTTCTTAGGGGATGAGACCCCCAACATTCCTTGCCTTCCCACTCTGGTATTTAGAAGAAGTATTTAGAAGAACTCCTTACAATAGCATAAGGCTGTGATAGCGAACCTACTGGCACACATGCCAGAGGTGGCACACAGAGCCCTTTCTGCAGGCACATCAGCTGTTGCCAGCTGCTCTTCCAGTTTCCAGTGCTCTGGCATGCGCGAAAACCAGCTGGCCAGTGCACATGCGCGCACCAGAAACAGGAAGATCAGCTGGCATGTGAATGCGCTCCGGCCAGCTGGTGTTCCAGTTTCCAGGCTCCGGTGCACACATGTGCATGCGCGCAGGTGCGTTCCAGTTTTGGCACTCGGTGCCAAAAAGGTTCGCCGTCACTGGCATAAGGTATAAATGAACAATCCAGGTTAATGGTTATATATTAAGAGAAAGCTAATGTGACCTGTATATTTAATACATTTACAATTTATAGCAGAGAAAGGAAAGGGAAAGAGAGTTTGAGAGACAGAGGGGTCACGAGTCTAGTGGTTTTATTTTTTTCCAAGTCTTTTGCTCCACGATGAGCAAAATACTGGAGAAATAAAAGAGGAGATTAATTTCAGAGAGGAAGGCGCGAACAAACTTATTGGATATGTCAGTTCAAGTCAGTTAGGGTATAATGTGTCATAAGCAATATCGTGAACGTTATTTACCGTAGTAGGGAATTGACAACCAAACCCGTTGCTCCAGCAGGGTTTTATCATGTACAGGACATAGCCAAGCAATTTGATCATTGCATTCTGTACTAGCTGAGGCTCCAGACCCCAAGTCCCGGGGGAAACCCGAAGGAAGGCATTCCTTGAATGTAAGTATAAGGTTGAAATCCAGCCAGCTAGTCAAGCAAGTCAATGCAGCCTCCAATAATAGCCATAATCTATCAGCCCCTCCCATCACAGTCCATAAAGAGCCACCCTATTTACTGTGAAGATATTCCCTACATCTAATACTGGAAGCAGGAAGCACCATAGAAAAGTACCTCCAGTCCATAACTCAAAAACAGGCTGTAGGGCATTGGTCTCCAACAGTGGTGGGATTCAAGTAATTTAACAACCAGTTCTCTGCCCTAATGATTTCTTCCAACAACCAGTTTGCCAAACTGCTCAACAAGTTAACAACCGGTTCTCCCGAAGTGGTGCGAACTGGCTGAATCCCACCACTGGTCTCCAACCTTGGCAACTTTAAGCCTGGTGGACTTCAACTCCCAGAATTCTCCAGCCAGCAAAGCTCCAGGTTTAAAGTTGCCACGGTTGGAGACCCCTGCTCTAGGAGCATCCTGTGTTGAATGCTTCAATCCTAGCAAATGCTCTACATGTGTATCTGAAATGAAACACCTGCTCTTAGTTCAGTCCCTTCTCTGTTGTTCCCCATGGTTCTTTAACCTTTTTGTAAGTGCTTTATTTCAACTAATACAGCCCATGTCAAATTCACGATTCTGGGCAGCTAACAACAGTTAAATACCGTAGAGATAGTCCTCCACTTACAACAGTTCATTTAGTGACTGTTCAAAGTTACAACGGCACTGGAAAAAAAGTGACTTATGACCATTTTTCAGTTACAACCTTTGTAGCATCTCCATAGTCATGTGATCAAAATTCAGATGCTTGACAATTGGTTTATACTTACGACCGTTGCTGTGTCCCAAGTACATATGACCCCCTTTTGTGACCTTTTCACAAGCAGAGTCAATGGGGAATCCAGGTTCACTTAACAACCAGGTTGCTAATTTATCAACTGCAGTGATTCAATTAACAGCTGTGGCAAGAAAGGTCGTAAAATGAGGCAAAACTCACTTAACAACAGAAATTTTGGGCTCAATTGTGGTTATAAGACAAGGACTATCTGTACATATATTTAGCTATATTTAGCTCTTCAATAAATCATTTGAACTCTGTGAGCTCTCAGAAGTTTGAGAAATTTCTTGGGAAAGAGATTCACATCACAGCAACTGATCAGACAGCCTTTTAAAAAAAAGAGAACAACATGAGAATAGTCATAAAAGCAGGCAGTTTTGAAAAAGTTGTAGTGTTCCTGCTAGCAATCATATCTTAGTTAGCCCATGTAGAACATTAAAGAAACTGTGAGAAAAACATCAGAATACAGTACAAATCAAGTATACCAAAATATTTTTAATATTATTTTGCTTCCAACAAGAAAAATTAGATCTGAGGACCTAGTGTAACAAAATCCCCATAGGCACTTAACTGGTGCTTCAGTTGTCAGTAAATATATGACTCAAAATAAACGTAACAGGCATTAAATAAAACTCTACATATGTATTCAGTATTTAGTCCCAATGGTTCCCAGTAAGAGTGCTTAAGACTGCAATCACTCATTCAAGAAATCAATTATTCTGTGGAAATACAGCAAATTATAGCACAAAAAGGGTTGCCAAAAAATACCAGTAGAAAATCTGCAACTCCCCCAAGAGGATTACAAGAGTTAACTCAACCCACATGGGCAGACGTGAATGGTGAAGACTGGATGCCAGAAAAAGCAGAATCTTGGGAAGCCATGTTGCTGCTATCACCATTTCAGCCATTTTGAAAGCTACATGGCAGAAACGGGATGAAGAGGACACCAAGACAGTTTCATGGCTGTTTAGGTTGGTGGAATTTTGTGAACTCTACCTGAATGGATCCCTCAAGACATTTCTACTTTCCTCTGAAATACACACATTGCCTGAATCACTGGATTTTGTTTCCCTTTTATTTCCTCTACAGCTCATGATCCCTTAACACGGTGCTTCTCAATCTTGGCAACATGCAGATGTGTAGACTTCAAGTCCCAGGATTCCCCAACCAGTTGGGAACTGAAATACACATTGCCAAGGTAGAGAAGCATTGCCTTGAAATGCTGCAATTATTGTTTTAAATGATCTCCAACTGAAAAGGAGTTAGTGTATTGAAAGGTTCACTGATTGCTACTGCCTCTATAGCAGGGGTCTCCAACCTTGGCAACTTTAAGACTTGTGGACTTCAGCTCTGTAGGACAGACAACATCTCCTGGACAGGAGGGAAGGATCAGCACATTTGCCGGGTTTAAAAATATGAATGAAATGGACTACTGTATTGTATAGGTGGTTATGGCTGACTGGAACATCAGTAATGTAACATGTTGAATGGCAAATGCACAGCACGTTACTGAAAGTATGTTTAAAGAGGGTTAAGTACCCCAAGTTTGGCTGGATTCACATAAGACATTGAATTGTAAAACACAGCCAACTTTTTACCCCTGCGTTCTATAGCTGACTAATGGTGGATTCAGACTTGCTATGGTCTTCAAACTTAATACAACCATGTTCTTCAATTACCCAAGATGGCATGAGTTTCAGTTCTGAATGTCCAAGTAATCCTAAAACCCCCAATTCGCACATGACAAGGGTCCATCATATAAAACCAGCTTCTATGCAACACTGTCCACTTTCTATTAGGATAGAATCAAAACAAGGTACAATCTCCTTAATTTTCCACCCCAGGTCAGTAATAATTATTCTTATTTAGCTTGTTATGGCAGCCCTGCAAGCTTGTTCAATTCTGGGGGGGGGGGAAACTATTAAAAACCCATTGGTTGCCAGTTCCCTATATTTTGAACAGTAATATAATGTGCTTGGCCAAGAAGGCAGACAAGGAAAATATCCAAAAGATGAAGCAACTTCCAGGTTTTCACCAGAAAATGCATCTGAGTTAACTCAACAGAAGTTCTCAGCATTTTTTTTTAAGCAAAGCTCAGGGTAACATTTCTGACACAAAATTACTAGTGTTAAAAATAAACCCATCTTTCTCTCCTCCACTAAGAAGCTAAAATCATAGGCTCTGATCTTTCCCGACTGATTCATAGGCTTGGAAAGAAACTGGCAAGCTAGCCAGAGAATTCTGGGAGTTGAAGTGCACACATTTTAAAGTTGCTAAGGTTGGGAAACACTGGCTTAATAGCTCTCAGTCAGTCAGTCATTGCTTATGCTTTTTAAAGAGGCAAGTGACCTACTCTAAGAACAGGTACAGTAATGCCTGGTGGTGCAGTGGATAGAATGCAGTATTGCAGGCTAACTCTGCCCACAGTCTGGAGTCCGATCCTGACTGGCTCAAGGTTAGCCTTCCATCCTTCCAAGGTCAGTAAAATGAGGAGCCAGATTGTTAGGGGTTAGCCAGATATGCTGACATTGTAAACTGTTCAGAAAGTGCTGTAAAGCAGAGGTCCACAATCCCCAGTCCGGTGCCGATCTACAGCCTATTTGGAACCGGGCCGTGGAAGAGGTGTGCGAGTGCATGTGCGAAAGCGGCACACACGCGCAACCATCCTTTTTCCCTCACCACCGCTTCCGCCAGGCTGCTGAGCTGAAAAGGTTGGAGACCGCTGCTGTAAAGCACTATGCAGTATATAAGTCTAAGTGCTATTGCTCGTGCCCGCCATGGGGAAGGCCTAACCACCAATAAGGCCAGTGGTGGGTTTCAAATTTTTTTACTACCGGTTCTGTGGGTGTGGCTTGGTGGGCATGGCGTGGTTTGGTGGGCGTGGCAGAGGAAGGATACTGTAAAATCTTCATTTCCATCCCACTCCAGGGGAAGGATACTGCAAAATCCCCATTTCCCGATCAGCTGGGACTCTGGAGGCAGAAAATAGACGGGGGCGGGGCCAGTCAGAATTTTTACTACCGGTTCTCCGAACTACTCAAAATTTCCATTACCGGTTCTCCAGAATTGGTCCGAACCTGCTGAAACCCACCTCTGAATAAGGCCATAAATACAAGATGGTTGAATTCCTTTTCCTGCTCAAGCAAGCAGACGTAGTACTTCAAGCTGAAATTCTGTGCTCGTTCCTGTGGGTTAGCCAAACAGGCTGAAAAAGAAGTTTCCTATTCTCTATGATTTTGCCCCTCCTAAAAAATTGCCTATCCAGGTTAAAGATGGATTAAGTCACATGCAAGCAGAAGATGCATTAGACTTAGAATTCCTTGGTTAGAAAAACTTACTTCAGTAAGATTGTTAAGGGGTAAATCTTGAAGGGAGATGAAGCTGCCAAAATGAAAGGAAGTAATCTTTTACCACAATCAGTATAAATGAATGCAGGAAGTCCTCAACCTATGACCACAATTGGGAGTGCAACCTCACTCACAAAGTGATGCAGTTGTTAAGTGAGCTGCGTCCCATTTTTTGCCATGGTCATTAAGCAAATCCAGCTTTCCCCATTGACTGTGCTTGTTGGAAGTCCCCTTAGAAGACTGTAAATAGTGATCACATGATGCTGGGATGCTGCAACCATCATAAATAAATGCTGATTGCCGAATGTCCAAATTTCGATCACATCACTGCAAAGATACTGCAACGGTCGTAAGCGTAAGAACTGATTGACAGTCCCTTTTTTTCCACAGCTGTCTTAACTTCAAATGGTTGTTATAAATGAATTGTTGTAAGTTGAGGACTACCTGTACTAACAGGACTGGACTCCAGGATTCCAGCCTTAGCTATGGTTCTTAAAAAGATACTGGTATCTAGGTAACATTCTTCTTTTTATCATTCTAATTGTGGGATTTCCAAGCCTATCAACAAAGGCATGATTTCCTGCCCTTGTGAATTTTATATTTTAAATAATTTAGCCCACATGGTGCGTGCAAATCTGAAATTATATAATCAACAGGACTGGAAGGAACCATAGAGGTCATCTGCAGGATTCATTAGAACATCTCCTTTAGCAAAGGAGAAACTTATCAAGTACTTTACAATTTGTTCCACTAGCTGACAACATTGTTAACAATTAGAAAATTCCTCCTGATGTCTAAACCCTAATTTGAATTCCTTCCTTGTAGTTTGAACCCGTCCTGTCCTACTCCCAAAAAGACTGGTACTGGTTTTGGCTGGATATAACCAAAAAATATTGTGAGATAGAGAAAGAGAGAGCATTGGTGGCAACCTTCTTTAGAGTAATGTTAATTTAAGTTAGCACCTTCCCTTTAGATACCTGCCTCTCTTAAGAGTGGGATTAGGCAATCTGGAGTGCTACCCTATAACTCCCACAACTGTAAATGTAACCAATATTGGAAGAGGCTGGGACTGTCATCATTTGTCCTAGAGATTCAGGTACCCTACATCCAATTAAGGGGTGCAGGAAAAAAAGGCATGATTTTTAAGCCACAAACCAAAAAAGTCTGCTGATACACAAAACTATTACTAGAATGGCTGGTTTAAAAATAGTCACTTTGTCATCCCCAGCATGAGCAGGTCAGAGTAAAAAAAAAAAGTGGTATTACCCTACTCAAAAGAGATTTTTTTTTAAAAAAAGAGGCTTCAGATATGGGAACCAAGAATCTTGTCCGTTTACACTGTTGTCCCAAACAAAGTCTTGTCTGAATCCTGTTCATCATCCCCAAGTGAAAAGTCTTTGGTGTCCAAATCAAGGTCTGGGATACAGTTTGTCTCCAGTGACAGGTTGTGATCTGGTGAGTTGGCGTCACTTTGTGCAGCAAGGACAGGACTCAGCTGCTCCCCTTCAGCCATGTATGCCAAGAGATTATCCAAGACTGGGCGGCTACGACAGATCTTGGTCAGCAGGCGGCTCCTGTGCCTCAGTTGCGTTATCAAACTGTCTTTCTCCTGGATCACGTTTAACAGTTTTTGCGCATGCTGTTCAGAAGACTGCAGCTTTTCCTCCAATATGGCAATTTCCCTTTGGAAGAAAAAAAAAAACGAAACAGGTTACCTGAGGAACCATCTTATCCACCTCACATTGCCCCATCCCACCTGATTAGGCAGAGAAGGTGTGTTATGGAATACTGTAGTTAAAGAATTTCAACTGGCAGGATCTAGGAAAAGGGCCTTCGCTGCTGTTTCCCCCACTGTCTGGAATATCCTTCCCTAGAGGTAAGGTGGGCCTCACTCTTCGAAAAAGTCTGAAAACACAGTTCTGCTAGCCTGCAACGGACTCACAACCATGGGGATGGTCAGCGCATTGAAGCCCCTCTCTCTGCCTTTAAACATTTTTATCCTCGTTTTACTTCTATTGATATATTGTATCTTCACAGATAGTCCTCAAGTTCACACAATCGGGACCAGAACCTCTGTTGTTAAGCAAGGTAGCCATTAAGTGAGTTGCATCCCAAATTTATGGCTGGTTTTGCTGTAGTCATTAGGCAAATCACAGTGATTGTTAAGGGAATCACGGGGTCATTAAGCAAATCCAGCTTTCCATTGATTTGCTTGTTGGAAACCAACTGGGAAGGTCAAAAATGGATGATCATGTGACCCCAGGACTCTGCAACCATCCTAAATACATGCTGGTTGCCAAGGGCCCAAATTCTGTACATGTGATCAGTTCTAAGTGTGAAGGACTGGTTGCACAAGTCACTTTTTTCAGCGCTATTGTCACTGTGAACAATTGCTAAACAAACTGTCATTACGTCAAAGAGTATACGTGATTATTTTTTTATACTTTTAACTGTTACATCTGCCAGTCACTCTGAGAGTAAGATGAGCAGAGTCTAAATTAAAAAAATAAAAAATAAATACATGAGGGTAGAAAGGATTGGTAAAATTATGTTTAAGTCCTTTTTCCTAAGACAGAGCCACAAGTTAGAGATGGAAGTATCCACTGGAATATGATGATCGTATGCAAGATGTTATTAGAGGGCTTGCTAGTAGGTGAAGTCCTTGGTTGCCTGTGTTATAAACCTGGAAATAATGTATTTGAAAGGATTTCTACCTGGTGCTGAATTTTTCAGCTTGCCTGAAGCACAATTACACGATTGCTATTCAACAGGAATAGCAGGAATGCTGCGAGTGCCTTCATATCCACAGCCTTCATATCCACAGCCTTCATATCCACAGCCTTCATATCCACAGCCTGCCCAAGCTCAAACTCGCCTCTTTTTCTATTAATTTGTTCCTGAAGTTCCAGCTGGGATAGCTATTTCCTACCATGAAATTTTGTACACAGGTATTTGCTTTCACAGCCCAAATGATTTCCTAATCCTGAGAAATAATGACAAATTGTTTAGCAAGATTGAGAGAGGAGAAAAGCCCCCCCCATATATATGCATAATATATATATTATGCAGCTCCCACCGAAAGCTAAATAATATTCAGAAGACCAACTTCATAGAGAAAAAGGCAAATGACAGTCAAAGAAGTTCTCTGCAAAACCTTTTATTCGTTCTCTAATTACAAAGTCACTCTAACCAAGGTTCTAGTCCTCTTCGAGGTCAGTACCTGTCCTTGCCTTCCCGAAGCCCGAGCACCGCCTGGCGCATCTCGGCATCCTTCCGGATGAGACTCTCAGCCTGGCCGTGCACCGTGCGCTCCGCAGCTGCCAAACGCCGTTCCAACTCTGCAACCCGCCCGTGCAAGGCGGCCAAATGCGCGTTAGCCTCGCGAATCTGGACCGGCGTCGGCGGCGAAGATGAAGACATCATGGACGACAACGACGACGCCCGGGGAGGCCCCGCCCAGCGCCCGCGCATCGTAGCCAATGGGAAGGCAGGTCACACCCCCCACACAATGAAACCTCGCCGCGCCCTTCATTCGGACTGACCAATCAGGAGCGAGGCCACACTAATGAGTCCTGAGAAAATGACAAATGGGACCACGCCTCCTATTAACAGCCGCTCGACTGAAGCTCTGTCAGATTGGAAGTTCCAGTCCGGCCGGTCAAGCGCGTCTTTTACGACGCCCCGCCCCAAGTAGGCGGGCAAGAGGAGGGGAAACAAAGCACGCGCAGCATTAGTCCCCTTTACCGCCCAAGCATCTACCAATAGAAATCATGCGAAGCCACACTCACAAACCAATCGATTAATCTGTGACGGGAAAAGCCGCGCCCCCAATCGTCAATAAAGCCGCGCCTACTTTCCCCTAATCCCGTCCAATCCTTACGAACCCCGAGTTGCCATTGGCCCGCGTCTAACTCTGGCTCTCCATGCTCTCGCGAGACCAGGTCCAGGGTAGTGTCCTTGGTGAAATCTCGTGGTGCTTGCGCCCGTCGCCGCGGTCGGTGTCAACATGAACGGGTACGGGGAGATTCTGGACGGCACCAACTGTTTCCGTAAGACCTGGCTTGCGGGGCGCCTCGGGGCCCTTACCGGTGAGGACCAAACTGATGTGGGCCGTTACTGTGGGGCTCCTCTTCGCTGTTTTTACTCGGAAGCTACCCCAAGTTAGCTGCGAGTCCACCCGGGAATCGTGACAATAAAGATCCCCGTCCTTGAACCCCCATCGCCGTCGAGCTTTAATATGGGCTCGTCCACACAGCCTCCTTGCCCCGCCCTGGAGGACGTCCTACGTAATGTCCATTAAGGACCTGTCAATCAGACTAGAGCTGGAAGGTACCTTGGAGGTCATCTAGTCCAGCCCCCTGCTCTGGCAGGAGACCTTATACAGGCCTATACCATTTCAGACAAGTGGCTGCTCAGTCTTTTCTTTAAAACCTCCAGTGTTGAAGCACCCACAACGTCTGAAGGCAGACTGTTCCACTGGTTAATTGTCCTCACTGTTAGGAAGTTCCTCCTCAATTCCAGGTTGCTTCTCTCCTTGATTAGTTTCCATCCATTGTTTCTTGTCCTGCTCTCTGGTGCTTTGGAAAATAAACTGACCCCCCCTCTTCTTTGTGGCAGCACTCAGATACTGGAATACTGCTATCATGTCCCCCCTAGTCCTTCTTTTCTCTAGACCGGCCAAACCCAAATCCTGCAACTGTTCTTCATATGTTGTAGCCTCCAGGCCTTTAATCATCTTAGTTGCTCTTCTTTGCACTTTTTCGAAAGTCTCAACATTTTTTTTGTAATGCGGTGACCAAAACTTTTTTTTTGTCAAATATTTTTTTATTTTTTTATATCACATATTCCATTTCTATGTTAAATAGTGTGTTTTCTAGGTGTCAAAATTGTTAACATATAAACATCATCATCATCTATGCATAAACATATATGTAATAATATCAATCGTTATTGAAAAGTATACTGTCTTCCATTACAGTATTGATTATATATCTAAGTATTTACTCATCAGTTTTTCTTTCTCATGTAGTCCATATTTCACATAATTCCACTCCTCTAACCTCAGTATTTGTCACTTAAGCATTTATAGAATAGTTCCCATGTTATAAAATATTCCGAGTCTTCTTTTCCTTTGATTTTTAGGGTTAACCTATCCATTTCTGCACATTCCAGAATTTTTTTTGATTATAATGTCATCTGTAGGGGTTTCTGAGTTTTTCCAGTATTGTGCATATACAATCCTGGCTGCTGTAAAATTAAATAAGTGTTACCCTTATTATAGTTTCTGAAAGCATGCCCAACAAGAATGTCTCAGGTTTCAAATCTATATGTTGTTTTCTCATAATTTCCAGCCACATGCGTATTTTTTTCCAGTATTATTTTGCTTTGGAACATATCCACCACATGATAATATGAGCCTGGTATTTGGTTGGATTTCCAACATTTAACAGATTTATTGTTATACATGTTAGCCAATCTTGCAGGTGAATAATGCCATCTGTAAAACATTTTATAGAGGTTTGATGACTAAAACTGAATGCAGTATTTGAGGTGTGGCCTCACTAAGACTTTATAAATGTTTAAATGTTTTAAATGTTTTAATTGGTAGTGAGTTTTAATTGGGCCAAATTTATATATCTTTTAATTGTTTTTTTAATATTTGTCCTGCATGTTTTTTAATTCTGGCTGTACACCGCCCTGAGTCCCCAGGGAGAAGGGCGGTATAGAAATTCAATAATAAATAAATAAATAAATAAATAAATAAATAAATAAATAAAGCAGCACTAATACTGCACATGATTTTGATTCTATGCCTCGGTTTATACAACCAAGGATTCTATTAGCTTTTTTGGCGGTGGCTGCACACTGCTGGCTTATGTTTAAGTGCTCTTCCACTAGGACTCTAAGGTTACTGTTAACAGGTCATAGTTCCAAGGTCACAGTTACGGTTTTTGAGCCAGGTTTTGCCTAATTTGTACTTGTACCTTTGTACCTTTGGGTTTTTTCCGGCCCAGGTATAAAACCTTGTTTTTCTCTGTATTAAATTTCATATTGTTGAATAGGGCCCATTGTTCAAGTCTGTCGAGATCTTTTTGGATCCTGAGCTTGTCTTCTGGGATGTTGGCTATTCTGGCTAACTTAGTGTTATCTGCAAATTTGATGAGTTCCCCTTCTATTCCCTCATCTAAGTCATTTATGAAGAGAATGGGGCCTAAGTACCCAAGGCTCTGTATACGGTATGTCCTCACAGCATAATCTCCATCTCGTTCTTAGGCATCCTGACAGAAAATGTGTTTTCCCTGAAAAGATCTCCATGCTCTGTAGGGCCTGGAGGGAGTTGTTGTTCCAGGCTTGCTGGGCTCCGATTGCTGTTGATGGGACTGCCTCCCCCATCCATTTGCTCGGCTCAGTAGTCCTTGCACAACAGCTGCCCCAGAAAGTGGAGTTCCTTTGTTCATCTCTGTCCTTTTTGTATAGCTGTGGTTTGTTGAAGGGAAAATCCATGGAAGAGCAAATGCGGATACAGGTAGTCCTCAACTTACAACAGTTCATTTAGTGACTGTCCAAAGTTTCAACATCACTGGAAAAAAGTGACATGACCTCTTTATGACAGTTGCATCATTGCAGGGTCATGTAATCACCTTTTGTGACCTTCTGACAAGCAGATTCATTTAGCAACTGTGTTACTAATTTAACTGCAGTTATTCACTTAACAACTGTGACAGGAATGGCTGTTTTGGCCAACAAGGTGCTGCAGGAGGCTGTCTGGGCCAAAAACGGGGCGTGGAGGGTCGCATGTGCCCCCTCCCCCTTCCCAATAAAGCAGTATTAGCTTTTAAATGAAAATGCATTGATGGCTTTTTTCAAAACCTCTATTAAAGTAGACTATTGGCATTCACTAGAAACAATACCTAATTTCCAAAATAGGTAAGTATTATGATTCCTCTGAAATCCTTTAACAAATCTAATTCCATATATTATTTAAATTTGCTATTATATGCAAGTTTATACTTTCCAATAAGATTTATAATCTCTGTGTACATATATATATACATATATACATACACATATATACATATATATACATACATACATATTACACACACATGATAAAATAAATATATTTTCCTTTACCATTGGTTTCAAGTCTGTTTGGTTTCAATGTTACTTTTATATTTTGACCTTTTTAAAGGTATTCTTCACAGAATAAATAGATAGATTTTCCTTGGTTCTGAAATTCAAGAACCATAGCACAGGAGAGCATCGGATTGAGAAGGCTGCTGTAAAAAAAAGCTTAGCCCCATCTGAAGAAAAATTGTCAATTGCAGGCTCTGTGGTGCTGTCCTGTTTTAATCCATGGTCAGTATTGTAAAATAACATGGTTTTATCCTTTAATTATTAGATTTTGGTATAATGACGTGGATAGGCACAGTACAGGTAATCCTTAATTTACAACAGTTCATTTAGTGACCATTCAAAGTAACAATGGCACTAAAAGTGACATGATCATTTTTCACACTTATGACCATTGCAGCATCCCTATGGTCACGTGATCAAAAGTCAGGTGCTTGGCAGCTGACTCCTATTTATGATGGCTGTAGTGTTTTGAGGTCATGTGAACACCTTTTACAAAAGCAATGGGGAAGCCAGATTCACTTAACAACTGTTTTCAGTTGTTAACTGCAGTAATTCACTTAAGAAATGGGGCAAGAAAGGTCATAAAATGGGACACAACTCACTTAACGAATGTCTCATTTAGCAACAGAAATGTTGGGCTCAATTGTGGTTGTAAGTTGAGTATGGCCTGTATTCCTTTCTATATGTGTTAAGTTTATGGGATTGCCAATGAAGAAAAAAATAGTTAATTATAATCTGTTTACTTTCCTTATTTTAAAATAATAATAAAAGGTTTTGTTGTTGCTGGTACTGCTAACCTTTTTTGTCATCCATTTTTTAAAAATCTTCCTGTAGGTCTCGTTGCTTCAACTTACCATGTAGTTCTGTACACACCAGAAACAAAACTAGAAGGACTTATGAGACTAGCCAAATCCACTGTCACTATGGGTAAGGCCTGCTTATTTGGTTAGTAGCATTCAAATGCAAATCAATACAGCTTATTGGGTTGTGGCTTAGCATATGTTATATGAATGAAAGCATTCTGGTTGTAAATCATGGTTAATCCTAATTCTTTTACCTGAATAGAGCCAATTAGAAAGCATGGCTTAAAACAATGGGCGAAGTAATCAAGGTTTCATTTGTATTTCATTTCTTTTAGACCGTGTTTGATTTGTACTTCTACCTCAGTTTTTAAACTGTGTTTCAAATTTAATGTACACATATTTTTTTCTGAAAAGATATCTTATGATTAAAGCAGAGATCTTATAATAAAACCAAACCTAGAAGTTTAAAAATTCTTAAATCCCTGTTCAAGTACTAACTTGTATTGTATTTGTAAGCTTATGGGTAGATTTTAGTAAATAATGAATGCATTCTAATTTGTTCTATTCAAGAGATGCTAACATTCAGGAGGGGAATACATCTCTCCTTCTGAAGTAGCCCTTTGAAAGTCTTGTGTGCTTTCCAGTGGTGGGTTGTTACCGGTTCGGCCCGGATTGGGCGAACCGATAGCGGCAGTGGCAGGAGGCTCCGCCTACCTGCCCGGATACAGAAGCATCGCTTGCATGCACCCATGAGCTAACCCATA